ACCGACGCCCCTGTTACACAATACAATGATGAAATACAATATTTAAACAGTATACTATTACTTAGTAAAACTGAAACCATTAGATTGTACTTTTTGAAATGTTTATATATATCATAAAAATAAAGACCCGCCCAGTCGAGCGGGTTATGATCTAGTCTATACTATTAAAGCTGAAGTACAAAAATAAAGTGTTTGGAAACATGAATAAGAAAAATTTAAAAGTTTGATTGGAAACATGGATATCATACAAATTTCATGGGCTTATTTATTATACTAAAGATTATTGCGGTCCAAGGTACCATTATTATTGTTTTTGGATTTTCTATCATTGATATTATTTTACTTCTAAAAATTATTTATACATATATGTATTCATGTTTTAAATGTATTTAGAATAAATCAAGAATAATATATATTTTATTTATATAATTTATATTGACTATTCTTATAAGTTTTTAACAGTGATATACTAGCCTTCCAATTCTTCATTAAAAATTAAATTAAAAATTTGACTAAATTATTTAGTGTATATAACTTTACAACAAATTTAGTCAAAAAATTTTATAAAATATTACTAATATGTTTACGGGTCACAATATTTTAAGACGCCCCTGTTACACAATACAATAATGAAATACAATATTTATACAATATACTATTACTTAGTAAAATTGGCACCATTAAATTGTAATTTTGAAATGTTATATATACCATAAAAACAAAGACCCGCCCAGTCGGACGGGTTATGATCTAATTTATATTATAATATGTAAATATAAAAATATTGAGCCTCTTAAATAATAAGATGCGGAGGGACACAGGCTTGGGCGCGGGACGGTTGCACCATTTCTCCCCCATCTAAGCTGGCCCTGTACACAACATAACTTGCGTGTCAAGCAAGGTGCTGTTCGTAGTAGAACGTGTGCCAGTGGAGAATTACTTGCAAATAATATAATCAACATGTGCTGCTGGAGTTGGGGATTTCTTTATGAAGTTATTATCCCATGAAAAGGAGATATTAGTTAGGATATGACCCATGTGGCCATGTGTTACAGAAAAAAAAGGTTAGGATATGGCCCATATGGGATTTCAGTGCTGATGCGGAAGAAGAATATGCATCCTTATCATCACGGATCGTTGGAATGATAAATGAGAAAAACAAGAACTAAGATAAATGGCTTTCGGGATTTGCTTGTATTATTTGTGAAACTACAAAAATTTGCAAGCTCATGTGGAGGAAAGACATCACATGCAGTTTGCAGAAAACGGAAAAGCTATTGAACTCTAATTATTTGTGAAGTGCACATTTAATATCACTTAAAAATGATGGCATGTCATATAAGAAAAAATAACATGACATAGATAAAAAAAAATGACATGTACAATAACATTTAATATTATTTTTCTTTTTAATTAAATTTTAAAAATATGGTAATAACTTATATACCATCATTAAAATAAATATATTAAATAATATAATATAAAAATTACAAATTTTAAAATATTATTTTATCTATTTTAGAATTAGAAAATTTTATTACCAAACAAGATTGCCAGAATGCTATACCATCTGTTTAATTTTGATATCCACAAATTAAAAAAATTCTATTTAGTATTTTTATAAAATATAATAAATTTTATATTTTTTCTTAATTTTATATATAATTAAAATTCTATTAAAATACTGCTAAAATAATTAAATATTAACTATTACAAATTTCCTTTTAAAATATAAATTAAAATAAAAATTTGATCCAACATATGGTGCACGACACCGCCTAATTTATATATAAGTTAAATGTTTTTCTGTAGCATCTGCAATAATAAAATAGATTATCTGAATAGAGATGACAGGTGAACAAACGAATAACACTGTTACATTTTTCATTAAATTAACCATAAAATTATTAGTAATATAAAAAAATTGTTTAAGTTAAATCTACCGAATCAACTAATGTTAATTTAAACTATAGATGAAACTAATGATGTTGAATAACAGATATTTGACAAAAACATATTTTTCCTCTATATTTTTTGAATTTTTTATTATTAGAATAAATTAAATAATTATATTAATCATATAATAAAAATTAGGGTTATTTATAATTATTATACTTTGAATTTATAAAAATGATAATTATACTAAAATTTTTAAAAGTTTCAAATTAATTTTTGTGATAAATATTTTGAATAACTAATTATAAAAAATATAAATGATCATAAACCCTACTAGTATAAATTTTAATTTAATAAATATCAAACTAAAAAAAAAAAATATATATATATATATATATATATATATTTGAATATCACTAAAATTAAACTATATAACATATAAAATGTATATACTTAGTTTTTTTAATTAAGTATTGAAATATTTTGTACATTGTTTCATTCCGCGTAAGCCGCTGATCTAGACCTAATTATTATTGTATTATATTGATATAACTCTGAATGGAAAAATCTCAAAATTTCTGATTATAAAGTAAAAACAGGCATGTATTAGACATACTTATATTGATTTGCAGTTTAAGAGTAATTAATTAAATTAAATATTAATATTAAATTCTACATAATTTGCATAGTACAAGGTGCGAGCAGGGGAGGAAACAACTAATCACGTGTTGTTTGAGTGCCCACCAGCAATACAAATATGATCCCTCTCAATGGTACCTACAAACCCAAACAATTTTCCTTTGCAATCAATTTTTGCAAACATGAATTATTTGTTTTCACGGATATCAGCATATGTAGATGATCATCGGTTTGCATGAATATTATGGTATATAAAGATATAAAAAAAATAATATGATTACATAGATACAAATCTCAGTGATGCAATACAATTGGCAGTAATAGAGGCTACGTTATGGAAAGAGGCACAAACACACAATTGCCCCGGGAAACCTATTTTATTCCACCGTAGAACTATATGCCCCCTTCTACAAGACATGAGAGGTGGTTTCTCATGAAAGGAGAGCGACAATAATTTATGATAAGGATGGTATAGTACTTTGGAGGATTTTGAGGATTCATGGGAGCAAGGAATACACGATCATCTCTCTCCTCTCTACACTAAGAAATAAAAGTGCTTATTTAGGCAATAAAATACATGAAAAATCTACGTCAATTACATATGAATTTTGGGACATATTATTCTTAGTTGGTGAAAATAGTTCAGAAGATTGCTTGTTTTTGCAATATATTTGGAAGACATACAAATTTTGAAGGAGTGTTTCAGTCATATGGAAACTATCCATGTTCCTCGATCACAGAATACATGTGCTGATAGTATGGCACACAATTATAGGATTCATTCACATGGATTCAGAGCTATCAATTTGAGTTGAAGAGTTTTAGTTAAGTCTGTTAAAGTTAATGTCAAAAAAAAATACACTCTAAATTCATATATTTGAGAATCCATGTGAAAATTCTCCTAAGAATGTGGTTGAAGTCAACGCAACTCCATTACTCAAAAACTCTGCTTCCCAACTTTGAAGTTTAAAATATCTCTAAGAATGGTTTTCAGTTTCTTATATTAGAATGATAAACTGCTTCGATTAGATTGTTATCAGCTGGTTGAAAAAAGGAAGAAGATTGAACTCAACTATTTTAGAAAAATCTTATCAGGTAATTTCTTAAAAATAAAGTCTTAAAAAGTAAATATTAATCTTATAACATAACTTATGTTTTCAACTAAACATTAATTTTCTTGTAACGCCCCGACCGCCCACGGTTAATGGGACACCCACGCCTGCTTACTTGGCCCGTGGATCCCATCCAGTTCCAACAGCCGGTCCGTTAATTTCCAAGACTCTAAAGTCATGCTTACTGACTCTGCAATCACCACATGACATTTCTCCGTGCTTTGGCCTCACTTATGCGGCATCACGAATCACTTCCCGATAGGTCACTCATCCTTTGACCACTCCAACTCAAGCATGCTTAACTCTGGAGTTCTTTTTGGACGTGCTCCCGAAAAGGTAAGTGCACTTTGGTAACACAGGTAGCCAAATCTATCTTCTTAAACCTTTCCATATATCACAACTCGAGATGTTACAATTTACTCCTTCTCAAAGAACATAATGCCCTTGTTGCGCCCCATGACATGTATCAAAACGCCTTTTAGGTCAGAACTGAGATGACTAACCAGCTCTGATACTTGTAACGCCCCGACCCCCCACGGCTAATGGCTCACCCACGCCCGCTCACTCAGCTTGTGGGCTCCATCCCGTTCCAACGGTCGGTCCGTTAATTTTCCAAGGCTCTATAGTCGTGTTTACTGACCTTGCAATCACCACATGATATTTCCCCGTGTTTTGGTGTCACTTACACGGTATCGCGAATCATTTCCTGATAGGTCACCCATCCTTTGACTACTCCAACTCAAGCATGTTTAACTCTGGAATTCTTTCTAGATGTACTCCCAAAAAAATAAGTGCACTTTAATAATATAAATAACCAAATCAATTGTTTTAAACTTTTCTATATATCACAAATCAGAACATTTCTTTTAAATGGTTAACTCTGACATTGTCTTCTGAAGTATCTCAATAGATTTTTACAGAGAACTTTTCTCTTCATCTTTCTCCAATTTTTTTTTTAATTAATGAAAGAATTCTTCTTGGATTCATTTGAAAATCTACCAATGGACTTGCTCTTAGTCTCCTGCTTTATTTATTGCGTAGTGTTCATTTAAAAATAAATCTTGCTGTTTCAAAAGAGTTATACAAGCTTCTAGGGATGTTAGTTTAAAGCAAAGTCTTATAATCCAGCGATTATTGCCTGTATGTAAGCACAACATGTGCTACGCTAAACTATTATATTGATCTGGCGTATATAACGTGAGAGATTATTCTAATAATATCGATATTATTTTGAGTAGCAAAATCTGATAATCTACAAGACTATAAAGTAGAAGGCATGCATGTATAAACATAACACTGGAAAAACAAAAACAAGTCCTATATATACTGAAGACCGATAGCTAATTAATATATATGTCGATATCCCACACCCACCCTAATTTGTTTCTTCCTCTCCTTCTATCATTCTTTTTCTTGCCTGCTGTTTTGGGCGGAACAAACTTCAGAACGTGCAATGGTACGTAGCTGTTAACGTTTTTTTTTTCTTTGGTAAATTAAAGGCAAATAAAGTTACTTTGAATCGTGAAATTTGTAATTCTAGTAAGATGTTGGTATAATTTCTTTTGTTCTTTTCGTAGGAAGTTATGAAAAATATCGCGTTAATGTGGAGACTGTGGAGATCTCCCCATACCCTATTACACGTAGCAGTAATGCAGACATTACAATAACGGGTTATACAGCCAGAATCCCTGATGGAGCAATTGTGGAACTCACCATTGCGAAAGCCAGCGCCGGCCACCCTATAGTTTCCAGTACTAAAACCTACAACTTGTGTGATATAGTGAGGTGTCCCATCAGACCTGGCCGCTTTGCGTTTACTTTATCTAAAATATTCAGTAACGAAGAGCTAAAAGGAGTAAGTTTTTCTTTACATTATTAACAAAAACTAGTCCGAGAGAAAATTCAATAATTGTTGCTTTTCAGATCTCTATTTTGTCGGTTTTCTAATGACCTAAGTAACGAGACCGCTTTTTGTTTTATTGAAATGTTTCAGAGGATATATGCTATCACAGTAGGCATCAAGGATAAGAAAGACCCAATGATGTGCGTCGTGTTCCTTTGTTGGGTTACCGATGATGGTAGTATGTCTCTTATTAGGCAACCTGCTACGATGATGGAGCTTGAATAAGCCATTGAAAACCAAACCGGATGACTTCGTATCGTACCAAAATTCCAAACCGAAAAATTAATGCAGTGGACGGCTAAGTATCTGTTCTTTTTTAATTAAGTTCTTGTTTTGCAAATAAGAGGAGTAGAAGTGAGCTTCCTCCACATTTTATGTTTCTCTTGCTTGTAGGAGTTTAAGTCCAACCTTGTTTCCTGTAAATCTATTTTAATCAATGAAAAATATATTAAAATAGATATTTTTAACTACCAGCGGAAATCAATCTTGAGTTCTATTGCTTTTGGGTCAGACAACCTTAACTTTCAAAACACGTTGCTGGTTTCAAGCACCTTAATTCCAAAACCACGTTGCTGTTTTGTTTTTTTCATTTCGAAACCTGTGCTGATTTATTAAATGGAAGAAAGATTTGGTGTACCTTATAAATATCGGGAAAATCGCATAAAAAAACCTTCAAGGTGGCAACCACTTACACTTTAAATCCTGAGAGTATTTTACAAGCATTTTAAACATTCAAGTTGGCAAATTTAACATATTAAACCTCCAATCTGGCTTACTTGTACATCAAGTTAAAAGGTAACCGGTACTGTTCAAAAACGATGACATGTCAGTTTTTTTTTCTATTTTTGAATATTTTCTAATAAATAAATATAAAAATACAGAAAAATATTAAAAATCATAAAAAATTCAAATAATTCAAAAAATATCATAAAAATTTAAAACAAAATAAAAAATATAAAAAATACTTTATTAATGAAATATTAAAAATAGAAAATATTAAAAATAAGAAAACTTAAAAGAAATTATAAAAAATAAGAAAATTCACAAAATTTTAAATAAAATAAATTCTTTTAAGGAAATAAAATAAATATAATAATAATAATAATAATAATATATAAAATAAATATAAATGCAAGAAAATATATATTTTTTAAAAAAAAATGAGAATACATTGTATTTTAGTGCTTATTAGTCGGGGTTTTCTGGATTTTATAACTAAATTAATATAGGATATTTTAATAACTGCTAAAAAACTTGGATTTTAACTTGTTTGCTTTGACTTGGAACTTAATTTGTTTGCTTTGATTTGACGTCATCGCTTTTGAACAGGTTTTAAATTCAAAGTCTTTTAGCAACTAGACTTTCACATGCACAAGTTTTTTTTTAAATTATATTGTTATTTGTTTTTCGTGTCACTATTATATTTATATATATATATATATGTCATCGTATAATTAATCGTATTTGATATGTACCATCAAATGATTATCGTGAACCAAATCAAAGCAAACAATTTAAAATTCAAGTCTTTTAGCAGTTATTAAAATATCCTATATTAATCTAGTTATAAAATCCAGAAAACCCCGACTAATAAGCACTAAAATAAAATGTATTCTCATTTTGTTTAAAAAATATGTTTTTCTTGCATTTATATTTATTTTTATTTATTTATATATTATTATTATTATATTTATTTTAATTTTTTTTTATTTTATTTAAATTTTTGTGAATTTTCTTATTTTGGGATTTTTAATAATTTCTTTTAAGTTTTTATTATTTTTAATATTTTATATCTTTACTATTTCATTAATAAAATATTTTATATATTTTGTGATTTTTTATATTTTTATGATTTTCTGAATTTTTTATGATTTTTTGAATTTTTTATATTTTTTATATTTTTCTGTATTTTATATTTATTTATTAGAAAAGTATTAAAAAAAAAACTAACACGTCATCACTTTTGAAGTTACATTTTTAACTTGATGTACAAGTAAGCCAGATTGGAGGTTTAATATGCTAAATTTGCCAACTTAAATGATTAAATTGCTTGTAAAATATTCTCAGTGTTTAAAGTGTAAGTGGTTGCCACCTTGAAAGTTTTTTATGCGATTTTCCTTATAAATATCGTTCGCCAATGAGCAAGTAAGTATTCCAGATCTCGAAGCCCGTACCATCCATATTGGTTGAGCCATAAGCAAGAATACAAACAATTTTGTGACACTTAACATATCAATTGTATGAACTTAACTTCCCGCGAGTCTCATTGTCCAGGGAACAATTAACATATCATTCGTCTGAAGTTAACTTCACAACACTCTCATTAAGTGTCTCTTAAAAGTGATCTGAACTCGAATGGTTATTATTAGAACCCATGCGAACTCATAGACTGAATCCAAAGACTCAAAACCCCTAAAAGTTTGATTCTAACCTGAACGAGTACCCTAATGATATGCCTACTTAACAAAGCAATCTTATGAATATATACCTTCCCACAAGTCTCATTAATACAAACTCATTGCCTAGGGAACAATTGACCTAGCAATCATCTGAAGTTAACTTCACACCAATCTCATTATGTGTCTCTTAATGTAAAACCAAAAAAACCTAACAGTGATAATGAAAGAATAGCATACGAAGAATTAATGAGATGTTAAGTTAAATAGGCTTTCAACCTAAAATCAATTGTGATAAGTGAATTAGTCAATCTCTAAGATCTCTTCCAACTATCAATGTAGGAGACTTAGTCTTTTTTATGAGATTTTATCAGTCTTGTTTTTATCGAACACCTCATGCATGTCAAGAGAATACAACAAACAACTAGGGTTTAAAAGGGACTACACCTGAGAAACAGAGAGTTGGGCTTTTCCACAAAGCAAGTCTTTCAACACATTCGTAAAGCCCCTATTTTTGTTGGTAAAGAATAAATATAATTATTCCCAAACTAGTTTCTAATCAATCAGACCATGGTTCTCTTTGTAGTAAAATCTGATTACAATGGCCTAATTACTTTAACCATTACTATGGCCTGATTACATAGTGGGGAAGAATGAACCTATTGCGTTACATGATTGTAATATGTTTTTTATGTCATAGATGGACAAACTTGCTCACTGGCCTATTAACCAATTTCTGAAACCTGATCACTAAGGTAAACAGCAATATTCTATAATACCAAAATTTCTTTTTACAATGTGTGAAAGAAATGGAATAAAGCACCAATCTTTTCAGCTTCTTTTTCTCATTCCAATTAGAGAATTCACCTCTTACAAAGATTAAACATCTTTTACATGATCCACATTGCCCACAGCGTCAAGTATTGATGAGTAAGTGATTGCATCATACACAAAGCCTTTATCTTTCATCTCTGCCATCATTCTTGCAGCCTCCTCAAACATTCCAGCATGTGCAAAACATCCAAGAAGAGTATTATAAGTGACACCATCAGGCTTAACACCAGAACGCTTCATAGCTTCAAACATTTCTATAGCTCGTTTCGGCACACCTGTTCTAGCAAATCCATTGAGTATAATGTTATGCGAATTCACATCCGCGCTGCAACCATTTTCTTCCATCTTTCTAAGCAACGTATTAGCTTCATTTATCATACCAGCCTTCACCATTCCTGACATAAGCGCGTTGTAAGCATAGACATCAGGACCACTTCCTTGGTTCTTCATCTCATTGAAGAGATCCACAGCTTCACTTAGCTTCCCACATTTCCCAAAATGTTTAATCATCACAGCATATACACGAGAACTTACATTCCCAAAATTCTCTTTCAGTTCCTTAAACAACTCATTCGCAGCTTCGTATCTTTTCGCCTTTCCAAGAGCGTTTATTAGGCTGCAATACGCTGCAGGACAAGGCGGAAAGCCTTTCTCATCCATCTCCTCAAGAAGCAACAGAGCTTTCTCCACTCTATTGGTTTTACAATAACCATCTATAAGGATGGAGTAAGTGAACTCACTAGGGGAAACACCTTCCCCTTTCATCTTCTCAAACCAAGAACTCACTTCTGCAACCGGAGCTTTAGACTCAAACAGAGCTTTAATCACAGTGTTGTAAGAAACAACAGTGGGAGTACATCTCCACCTCCCCATCTCATTAAACACATTCTTCAACTCCTCAACTCTACCCACTTTGCCTAAAATGTTCATCAGATTGTTTAAAAACACAACATCAGGAGTCAACCCGTCTCTAAGCATGTTCTTATACAAATCATATGCTTCCTCCACTCTCCCTGCTTTACCAAGTCCTTTTATAAGTTCAGTGTAAGTATAAACACTAGGCAAACAACCTGCTCGTTTCATCTCCTCGAAAAGATCCAAAGCTTTCTCAACTTCACCAACCTTAAAGTATACCCCCAACAAAGTCGTATAAATCTTCTCCGTTGGCTCCAACCCATTCTCCCTCATCTCATCAAACAACCTCACCGCAGAATCATTCCGACCCAACTTATCATACGAAGTAATAACCGCAGAGTAAGTAACCGTATCAGGAAAACAATCTCCTTCATTACACATCTCACTATAAACCTCATGAACCTTCTCATACTTCCCTTCTTGCATTAACATCATAATCACAGAGTTATAACTACTCGAATTAGGCTTACACTTACGTCCTTTCGCCTGATAAAACACAGACAAAGCCTTACTAACCATCTTAGCTCTCCCCAACGCCTTCACAAGCTCAGAGAGCACAGCAGGGCCAACACTAACATACCCATTACGAACCACCTCCTGTATCGTCCTGTACATCTCACCGTAAAGCCTAGCTTCTTCAAGGCAACGTATCAAGGCCATGTAAGTGGATGTGTCGTGTTGAAAGTTTCTTCTTTTACCAGCCCATTTGAAGAACTGAGTCTTGACGTTGATGTCGACGTCTATCTCGAGGATTGAACGGACAAGACGGTGGTCTACTTTGAGTTTGAGGACTTCTAGGGCTTTCTCGGCGTCTGGTCCCCATTTGAAGATTTTGAGGATTCTGATGAATCGTTCGTCTAGCATACGTACTGATGGGTCTTTTCTTGAGAGTTTCCATTTCTCTTGTGGGTTTTCTGATTCTTCTGGGTTTGGGAGACTGAACATCTGAACAATCTCGCTTTCTGTGTGAATACAAATGTTTTAGAGTCGGAAAAATCATAAAGGTGAAACCTTTTCTCCACATAAAACATAAAGGTGAGACCTTTTACTTGTAATTCCGTCCCTGAAGTGTTTGTGTAAGAGGAAGTAGTGTGCAGATTACCTGTTTGTTTAAATCGCTGAGAGAGGTGAGGTAGCGTTGAGACGGTTCGCTTGACGAGGATGGATCGAGACGTTATGTAGGCCATTTTTTTTTATAAATGGGTTTTATATGTAAGGAGTTTCGACGAGTTGTACTCTTCTGGTGTGGCGAAAGATTCCGGCGGTTGAAGATCGGTGGTTTTTTTAGCAAACGGCTGGAAAATGTTGAGAGAGGTTTAGGGTCAGACAGAGTTGAAGAAGACGCACGTGAGTTTCACGTGGTTTAGTCTATATGGTTTTCGGGTCGGTTTTTTCGGTTCTTAAAAATTTTGGTTTTGAAATAATACCATCGATTAAACCGAGATATATTTTAGCTCGGTTTAAAACTTGGGTTATTCACATTGGTTCACAGTTCTGGTTTTTCTGGTCGGTTTTCGGGTGTTATTGTCTATTTTCAGTTAAACCACAGTTTGTTTATGTATCAGTTTACTCTGTTAATTTGGTGAAAAAACAAAAAATTTCTATCTAAAATTCAGTGCAATTCGGTTTATTTCAGTTAATTCGGTTAAATCTGGTTTAATTAATCGATTTATTTGGTTGCTATATAACAAACCGTTCAGTTTCTGTTTGTCGAACCGAACAAATCGAACCAAACACTAGTTAAATTTAAAAAATCGCTAATCGGTTCATTACCTTTAACCGGATATCAAACCGAAAATCGAACATTTGGGTTCGGTCGGTTCGGTTTGCTTCGGTTCCAGCTGAATGTCTTAACACTAGACTGATCACTACAACAACACAAAAGGAAGCTCATTCTTTTTTTTTTTTTTGAATTATACAGAGGTATCCTGGCCCCACATAAGTGGTCCAGACTAGCCACGTGTTGCCACGTGTCGGTCCTCTGTCCCTGGCGATGCCGAAATGTTAATTCCCCAGTGGCCGGGATTCGAACCCAGGTGGCGGTACTCACAGCTGTAAGCCCTTCTTTTTTGTTTGGTTCTTCTCAGTGGATTTGCCATTTGCCACACATTCCCAATCTCCAAATAAACTTTACTTCTCCCCCGGAGAAGAAGATGGGTTTCCTCATAGGAGGCACTTGCTCTCCTCCTCTCCACTCTTCTAGACTCCTCCCATCTCCTCCTTCTCAGTTCGTGCTTCTCTGCTCTACCAATGCCGCCAAGTCCAAGCGTCGCCGACCACCATCTGCTTCTCTACGCCACCAAGACGCAAAAAACGACAGCGTTTCCCTCAAAAGAAGAGCTTTTGTTCTTGTGGGTATCTCCGTTCTTCCCTTCTTCCAGCTTCGATCCCCTGCTTTGGCTGATGAAAGTGAGAGCTCTTTGTTCTTGTTACTCTTCTGCATTCATGAAAAAATATTTTACCTTTCATTGTTCTGATTAGTTTGTTATTACAGGAGAAGACAATGTTATAGCGACCTCAAATCCTAATCAAGAAACTGAGGTTTGTACTATAAACTCTCTTCCATCCACTATGTGAGTATCAGTATTTTCTTACAAGTGATTGAGAGACTTGTTTGTTTGCTCTATGTTGTTGATTAGGTTGCAGTTAGTGAAGGAACAACATCACCGAATACATTTCTCTCTCTCCTAAATGGTCTTGGCATTTTTAGTTCTGGTGTTCTTGGTGCACTCTATGCACTTGCTCGTAAAGATACTAAAGCTGCTGAAGAAACCATCGAATCTGTAAGCTTTCTCTGCTCCACTTTTAAACTTCTTTTAGCTTAGCAACTGTGTGTGGCAGAATGCTTGATTACTCATAGCACTTCTATAAGAGTGTTATTCGTTGTCATTTATTTGAAGCTTTCTGAGGTTGTGAATATCTCAGATCCTTTCTTACTTGAGATACCTATAACTGTGAGTTACAGCTAAAGAACCAGTTGAAAGAGAGAGAAAACACATTGGTTTCAATGGAGAAAGACTTTGAAGCAAGAATCCAGCTCGAGGAGGAAGAGTGGAACAAGGAAAGAAAAAAAGCAGAAGAGGAACGATTCTCATTGATCAACCAATTGAATTCTGCAAAGGATGTGGCGACGGGGCTAGGCAAGGAGCTAAGCAGCGAGAAGAAGATTTGTGAGGAGCTTAGAGCTCAAGTTGGAAACCTGCAGAGTAATCTGTCAAAGGCTGGTGAAGACAAAAAGGCACTTGAGTCAGAGCTTAAAGAAAAGCTTGAATTCATTGAGGGGCTACAAGATCGGATCAACTTGCTTAGTTTGGAGCTGAAAGATAGCGAAGAAAAGGTTCGAAGTATTAGCACATCACTGGCTGAGAAAGAAGCAGAACTGAAGAAACTCAACTCTGCTTACACACAAACTAGCCGAGAACTTGCTGAAGCAAAGTTAGAGATCAAACAGCTTAAGGAAGAAGTCACAAGAATTCAGACTGAAATAGACTCCAAGAACTCTACCATTGAGGAATTAAACACCAGAGTAAGCACTTTAGTTGCTGAGAATGAGAGTTACATCAAAAAGCTTGATGATGTTACAAAAGATTACAGTGCTTTGAAATTGACTTCTGAAACGAGAGCAGCTGCTGATGCTGAGCTCATAAGGAAGAAAGAGGAGGAGATTCAGCAGGTTAATGAAAAGCTGGATCATGCTGTGAAAGATGTAAATGAGAATAAAGACAAAGTTGCTGACCTTAATGAAAAGTACGAAGATGCAAAGAGAATGCTGGATATAGAACTCGCTAGTGTACAAAAATTGAGACATGAACTTGAAGGAACAAAGAAAACACTCCAGGCATCGAGAGATCGTGTCTCTGACCTGGAAAAGATGCTTGATGAGTCGAGAGCTTTGTGTTCAAAGTTTGAATCAGAGGTTTCAAAAGTTCATGAAGAGTTTGATAAAGCCAAGGAAAGATTTGAAGTAAACCTTGCTGATGAAAGAAGAAACGGTGAGGATTTGGCTAGGGAACTTGCAGTGGAGAAGGATCATTTGAAGAAAGTTAGAGACGAGCTTGAGGGGCTGAGGCATGAGCTCGAAGAGTCGTCTGTCAAAAACCAGAGCCTCCAAAAGGAACTAGTGGAGATTTACAAGAAAGCTGAAACCACTAACAAGGAACTGGAAGAGGAGAAAAAGAAGGTTTTGGCATTGGAAAAAGAGGTGGAAGCAATGGAAAAGCAGATGTTGATGGACAGGGAAGCCATGAAATCACTTGAAACAGACTTGGAAGAAGCAGTTAAGTCTTTAGATGAGATGAACAAGAACACAACGACACTTTCACGAGAGCTTCAGAAGGTGAATAACCATGTCTCGAGCTTGGAGGACGAGAAAGAAGTGCTTCAAAGATCACTAGAAGAGGCAAAGAACGCATCAAAGGAAGCCAAGGAAAACGTGGAAGACGCACATATCATCGTGATAAGTCTAGGAAAAGAGAGGGAACTGCTGGAAAAGAAAGTGAAGAAGCTGGAGGAAGACTTGGGCTCTGCAAAGGGAGAGATACTGCGCATGAGGAGTCAACAGGATTCTGTTAAAGCTGTGAATAGTACAGATGATGAAGAGAAGAGTGATGAGAAGGTTACTGCGAAAAAAGTTGTCAGGAGGAGAAAGAGCAGCACCAGTTCTTGAAAGAGACAAGGTTATAAGGACCAGACTTGTGTCTGTTATTTGTAGCCAGTATTAAATCTGTGTAAATTTTGACAAGAGGCAGGTGGATACAGAATTTCATCATTGAGATCATTTCATCACTGATGATAGGTAATATAGAGTGTGAAGATCAGTGCTTTGTATCAGGCTATTCATGTCTAAAATTATAATTTCATAAACTATTATGTTAAAGATAAAATTACATTTATTTTATACAATTAAAACCAAAACACCCTCAAGGAGTTCCCGGCTAGCACCAAAAAATTGTTTCTCAAGAGGCTGCTTTGTCTTCAGAAACAACATCTAGAACAAGTTTCTCAAACTCATGGCTGGCCATGAGCTTTCCATGTAGATGAGAGATCAGCCACAGCTTCACCAACTGTTAGATAAAGTCCACTCAGCCCCAATGACTCAATGATCTTGGACTTGTGTAGCTTCTCCATCACACTCCCCACAGGGTTCACCAGCACAAGCTGTTTTAAACAAGTTAAAACATAAAATTAGTGGGGTTTACTACTAACATAGGTAAAGATCTATGTTTAGAGTTAGAGGTCTAACCTGAAGTGATTGCTTCTCTAGCCTTCTTCTAAGTTCAAACAGTGCCTCTATGCCACTTGTGTCTATGGAAGATACAGCTGAAACAATTCAAAAAAGAAGGCATAAATACAAAGATAAGCCAAAAACTCATGATCATTCAGATGAGAACAGAAGTTACCTGTCATGTCAAGAATTATGCATTTTAAGGTACTACCATTGTTTTCCTTTACCCTAGTTTCCTCTTCCCTGGTCCATCTCAAGATCCTACAAAACCATAAACTCATTCCCATAAGAACAAACACAAAAAAGATATCAAGAATAAAGTTATTTGGTGTGAAGACAGTTGTTTTTACTGACCTTTCTTGCAGGTAAGTGCTATTAACAAAGTATATTGGAGATTCAACAGCAAGAATTAAGAAACCATGGATTCTTGAGGCTTCTCTGTATCTTTTAAGACTCTGGTATATCTGAGTCCCATGGATATTTCCAAACTCTAAAGTGTTTGGCCGGGTTACATGCAACAATATCTTGATAACCGAAACACTCACCTGTGACAAGAAGGTATCAAACTTAGATACCAAACAACCTGAGAATTAGTAAAACTAGAACCATAAATAATATTTGTATACTCACTGCTATTGCTAGGCCAAGAGGTACGGAGACTAAGAGAACGCCAAAGAAAGCACACATGCAAGTGAAGAAATCGAATTTGTCAACTTTATAGAGCTTGTAAGCCGCTTGATAATCAATGAGGCCTATCACAGCGGTTAAGATGATGGCGGCTAGGATCAAATTAGGAGTGTAGTGGAAGAGTGGCATCAGAAACAAAAGTGTCACAAGAACTGTTGAGGCCAACACAATGTTAGAAACAGCTGTCTTCGCTCCAGCATTGTAGTTTACTGCAGATCTAGAGAAAGACCCTGAAGAATGTAATAAAATGTAAGTCGTCAAAAACATTGTTCCTTGAACCACAAGGTGAATGAGAGATTGGTTTCAAGTTAATTTTTAACCTGTTGTGACATAGCAAGAGGTGCAAGAACCAATCATGTTCATAAAACCTATAGCCATCATTTCTTTGTTCCCATTAACTTGATAGTTCTTTAGAGATGCAAAGGTTCTCCCTACAGCAATGCCTTCCTGAAAAATCAATCAAGTCAAAAGGTTAAAGAACTTAACTCTACAATTTACAAAGAAGGAGATGATTTTGGAAAGCTTACAGTAAGAGAGAGGACCCCAGTGATGATACCAGTCTTGATGGCAAGAGCAAGATGAGTACCACTGAAGTATAACATGTTTGATGAAGGTGGATTCAAACCCTTTGGTAGATGTCCAATCTACATTAAAAATTGAATCTCTTCAGTCTTTGTTTTCTCAATCTCAGATTATATAATAATACAAGTCTGGTTAAAAAAGTTCTTACAAAAGAGATGGCATGAGTCTTGTTTCTGATGAGGAAGACAAGAAGAGTTGAGATCACAACTGATGCCAAAGGTGATGCAGCTGATATCCAGAAAAGTTTTGGTTTCCTCATGCTCTATAAATTCACAAAAAAAAAAAAGTTAAATATTCGATCACAGTTAAGCGCTGTTGGAAACTGTATACAGTGTTTGCAAGTACTTACAATGTGTCTTGTGGTTAAGAGAATGATCAAGAAGCCAAGGCCCATCACAATAGTTTCCCATGACCACTGAAATTGTTGTAAGTAACACTATTAGAAAAGGATCTTTTTTTTTTGATAGGTAACAATTTTTTAACGAGGAAAGTAGTGTTTGACTTACTTCGGATCTATTGCTGAAAACAGAGGACATGACAGGAATAAATTGCATTTTGCCAGTGAAATGAACAATTCCAAGAAGACCCTTAAGCTGTTGAAGTGATACAATCACTGCAGCACCAGCAGTGAAACCAACCAAAGTTGGCTTTGACAAAAAGTCAATCAAAAATCCCAGCCTGAAAATTTTAATTTAATTTTATGTAAATATATAATATTAATCCAAAGTTGCTGACCATGAAAATAAATAGTGTAAAACCACTAAAGTAGAAGGAAGCATCTTGGGAGGTAGGCATTATTAGTACATGTCACTTACTCACTTGTCACAATCAAATCCAATTTATAGAATCTTGGTCTTTTTTCCATAGAAAATGTTAGTTATATCTTTGTTGATCATGACTAATGTACCTTTCGCTTTCAGCGATAATTCAACAAAAGAGGCTTAAGCATAACTCTGAATATATTCTACACTAAGCATACTAAACTGCAATAAGAAACTTTACTACATATTCTTTTGCACATGACGATTGCATATTCTTTTGCACATTAGTTTGAGTTTTGGATTGAAAAAAATAGAGATCTCTAGGGTAAGATTTGTACCTAAGAAGGCCGAGGGAGGCTTGGAAGAGACCAGCAAAGAAAGTTGAAGTGAAGGCCAATTTGAGATATAGAATTGGGTCTTGTGTTGGAGAAACACTCTCACTTAGCATTGATCCCATCACAAGTGATGCTATTGAGACAGGACCAACTGCAAGATGTTTCGAACTCCCAAGAATTGAGTAGATGAGTGGTGGCACAAAGCTTGAATCTGCATGCAACCACCAAATTTATTAATTAGAATCTGATTTAGTTGATTACACTGATTAGTCTGTAATTTATGTGACGATGATCGATACTTACAGAGACCAACTATGGGTGGTAAGTTTGCTAGCTTGGCATAGCTGATTCCCTGCAAATTTTATTGCAAATAATACAAACATCGAAAGAAAAACATTAATTAGAACCATTTTTAGATAACGGTATTAAAGTTTTTATTTAAGTTTATTAAAACATTGAATGACATTAACTAGTCCAGAACAAAAACAAACAGAAAAGGACTTTTTTCTCTTTTGCTTTAAACTCTCCGAGTCCAACCAGTCGTATCCACACTACTCAACAATGTAATTACAAAAACTCTTAAATACGACTTTTATTATCCTACCAAGTACCAACATACAAAGAAAATCATATTATTTTTAGGCCAAAATGGAAAAGGAATATATTGTTACCAATTTTGAAGAATTGTAAAACAATTTCTAATTAACCGAATTTTTTTTTTAAAACAGATCAATTGTTTCTGTTAATCTTTAGTTTTTATTTAAATATAGACTAAAGATTGGTAAACCAATTTCAAAAAGCAAATAAAATAAAAAAGAATCACAACAAAACCATGCAACAAAAAAAACATATATATAGAAAAGGGATTGTTAAGTTGTGTAACCTGAGGGATGGCGAGACTGGCAATGGTGAGGCCAGACACAACATCAGACCTAAACAGCTTGAGATCGTACTGAGAACCCCATATGAATATCGGAAACAAGCTTTGAAGACCAAGAATCACTTTGTTTCTCCATGTTTGGTTCCTAAACCTCTCTAATGGATCATCAGGAAAGAAAACATCAGCAAAACGCTTCTTCAGTTTCTGGAACGTTGTTTTCTTGGGCGGGAGACAAACGCTGTGTATCTCCACGATCGTTTCTCTCGTGGTTGCGGTTCCGGTGTTGGGAGACGCCATGTCTTCTACTCTGTTTGTGGCATGACCCATGGTTTTTGTGAGAGACTTATAATATGAAGGGTTCTTGAAATAATAGAAATGCAGAGTTTAATAGTGTGATCTGGATGTGATTATGTGAGATTATGTTTGTAGGATTTTGTGAGGAAAGATGGTATAATTGTGCTTTGTATTTATAGGCATTTGGCTCTAAAAGTGTAGTTGGTATTATGGGTAATGACAAGCTTTTGTTTTACAAAAACAAAAACAAAAGGAAACTGAAAAGCGGTTTCATGGTTGAGTTCGTAGGGGTAAATGCGTTATTTCACATAATCAAGTGCGTTAAAAGGAAATAAAATCTAAGGAAATCATATTTCTGTATAGCATGGCATATCGACAAGAATATGGTAAAGATTGAAGAACAGAGGAATCAATGGGATACCAGATACATACACAATGAAAATCATACAAAACTTGATACGCAACGATTACTTGTTTTATTCTAATATATAGTAGTATTTATTCTTATCATATTAAAAGCATTTCTTGTGTAAATGTATAATCCCTCTATTTCAATCTAGTTATCGTTGTAGAAAAAAATATTTTATTTTAAAATAAATATCGTTTAATAATTTCAATGCATTTTTCTTTTTAATTTAGTTTAAATGTAATTAAGTGTATAAGTAATAATATTTTTATCTAAAAAATATATAAATTAAATATTTTTTAATATGTGTGCTTAAACTCAAAACAATATATAAAGTGAAACAAGTAGAATCTATAATATAATGAGAGAGTTTCTCTCCTTTCAATGTATCACATCAACATTTTTGTGAATCCCACAAAAAAAAATGTAGATCACGAATCGAACCCAGGTCATTTACATTTTAAATATTTTTTTACCACTAGATTACTATAGATACT